AAAGGGCCCGTAGAATATAAAATATACAGGCCCTTCTGTAGACCATACAATTTCATATCCTACAATGGGATAATATCCACCATTACAATTTACATTCATCATACAATTTATTCATTCACTGACATTTTACAGACATTATTGCACTCCTAATACATTATAGGCATACCATTGTATAATATACACTTTACATTCACCGTACAATTCATCATACAATGCAATAAAGCACTGATATTATAAACACTATTATATATTAAGACACTATACTATATCCTCATACATTATATTCATATCATATTATAAAGTATTATGCTTCTCATATCATACAATTACACTGTGTAACCAACAGTATTACAGTTATTACACCATACAGTATTTCATGCATCATACAAGGGTATACCGGGTACATAGTATACAATTACATGCACTGACATTAATTACAGACATTATAATCATCAGTAACGTAATAGAGGTATTACCCTTCTCTTACTGCAGTATACATTGTTGGTATGTATATTTATATATATATGGGGCAAAGAAGTAATTTCAACAGTGTGGACAAGTTTAGGTTGTCAAATTTTTGGAGCGATCCACTCCTTTATCAAGACACAGTGAAACAGAACAGTTACATGTACATATATACCTCATATTACAAGAAGATAGAACTGATATACTATAATTGAAAATATAGCTATTATATAAAACCAATAGTCCCCTCGGCTAAAGACAGCCGAAGGCTATTCATTTATATATATATATATATAGTTGTGGGCAGCTGATAGGTTTTAAAAGTTAACAAGCCAGGCGGACCAGCCCATTGTAAGATCAGCTGGCCCTTCATTAAACTTATATAATTAATGGTCCCAGACAGACAGACAGACAGGCTTGTGATTATTTCTACCCCTGAAAACAGCAAATGATAAAGCAACAATAAACGAAAGAAACAAAACTTTCAACTTTAAGGGTACATGCAACATAAAACAAATGCTTTTTTTCTTCTTATACCTTATTATCTGCATGGTATCTTATGCACAATGCAGATATAATGCGTTGAATAGCACAGGCCCTCACATTTCTACAATGTAGGATCATACCATAGATCACTGACATTGTTGACAACTTGGACACTGCTGAAATTTTGTCACCTACAAAAATGTGTTATTGTTTAATTTAACTTTATAGTAGCAGGTAGACTAATTAAGCATTCAATTTAGGATTGCACTTCGGGTCATTGTTCACAAAGAACAAAATAAAGAAGTATAAAAATTAGGCTTGTCTATAGATACTTTTGCCGTTGCATCCAGGCCTTAGTGACCCATATATGAAGAGAATTTCTTGTTTGTCATTCATAATATTGATACTGTAAATTTATAGCTACTGTAAAAAAGAACAAAATACTCGCCAATAGCAGAAAATAAAACCCTGAAGAGCTCAGGACATTTCTCATACATTTCCCTGGTAACATCCCTGGACCAGTCTCTCTTACACAGTTCATTTGGATCTTTCACAAATAATATACTTTTTCCAAGTTTTGCAACAGTTTGCACAGACTTGTCAATAACAGGTAATGTATCACAAACCAGCTGCTTCATAAAATCGTCGGCAGATGTTTCGGTTGGGATATCATGTTCACTTTGTGTACTGTATGACTTAGTATAGCCGTGGTCTGGCAAAGAGCTAGAAGCTGGACATGGAGTTGCTGCAGGTGTACATGTGGGCACAGATGTGGAAGATGCATGATGATCATTTGTTGCTGTGTCAAACGTCAATCTCTGTCGAGACTTCTTTCGTAATTGTTCATCGTCATTTAAACTCAAACATTTCAACTTTTCCACTGAACGCTGAATCTGATTGGCGACTGACATCTTAAAGGACGATGGAGGAGTTGTTGACATTCGCTTCTGTCGCTTATGTATGCTAATAAACTCATCAATGTTATTGATACATGTTTCCTTTAAACTGACAGCGGCTGTGATCTTGTTAACTCCTGTAAACTGTTCAATGGTATCAACATACTTTCCCTTCCGAACTTTAAATTTAGTCAAGCAATGTAGGCGTTTGCTATCGGAAGTACATAAACAAGAGGCCCAAGGGCCTTAGTGGTCACCCGAGTTATATCATAGGTACTGGTAGCTTTATTTTATTGTTTAGATGTGATGTGGAAATCAGCATGTAAAATAAGTGAAATACAATACTTGTCATGTCATCAAAAGATAAGAATTTTAAAATATTTGTAAATGTTCCCTTTGGGGCCCCGCTCTAACCCCTGGGGATGGGGCAGGAATTCCAAGTTTACAATGTGATACCGTCATCCACCAAAGATGATTCTGACCAAGTAAAAATAATTTCCAACAGAAAATTGTCAAAATATACCCAAAAGTGTTGTTTCCCTATATAAACTATAGTAAACTTTACCCCCTCCCCAAGGGAGAACGGATGGCTCGGGGGTCCTGAAATTTACAATTTAAATAAAGCCCCTGATGATCTTTCCATCCATGCAGAGAAAATGACTGTAATACCTCTGAGTCTGGAGAAGAAGATTTTTGAAATATTGGTTAATTTTCCCTTTTGGGCCCCGCCCTGGCCCCTAGGGTTGGGGTAGGAATCCCAATTTTACAATTTGGTAGCCTCATCTACCAAGGATGATTCTGACCAAGGTTGAAAAAATTCCATCCACTGGTTCTTGAAAAGAAGTTGATAATGTAAAAAGTTTACGCACGACGCACGACGGACGACGACGGACGGAAAGTGATTGGAATAGGTCACTTGAGCAAAGCTCAGGTGACCTAAAAACAATATACCGTTTCCTCAGATAAAACACTCTTCACAGGAGTCGTCTGCTTCATGGGCGCCGCCATACTGTATCCATCCGGGAACTTGAAAGTAGTTCCAATGGCGGAATTCGTAATACAGCCGAGGTTAGATGTAGATCTGCCGAGGTGTGCCGAATGATGTTGTACTTCTATACCAAGTTTGATGTCCATACATCAATTAATTATGGAGATATACTCCGGAAACCTCATTAGCACGGACACACACACACGGACGGATGGACACACAAGGCGAACACTATACCCCCGACTTCAGTTGAAGCGGGGGTATAACTAGCATGGGTGTAATTGTCTATTTATGCCCAGCAATTGTATATATATGCATAATATGGTTTTGGGGTGGGGATCTCTGATCATTTCCAAGTTATGACCCAAGGACCAAGTCCCCAAGGCCGAGGCCGGACCTCGGAGGCAATCGTGGTTGCACGAGTATATTCGATACAATAACATGTATATGTGATCTCGATCGTTTCCATGTTATGACCCAGAGAAGAGACAAGGTCCCTAGGGGCGGGGTCGGATCCCGGAGGCAATCCTGGTAGCATGAGTGTATTCGCCTCTTCATGCCCAGCATTGTACAATATTCTGTTTATTTATTTTCCTGTACCCACTCAGGGACCCACTGTATGGTTTTTATAAATATTTGGTCACCATTCAAAGCTTTCTCAATAAAAAAAACCTATAAACTATAATGATTGGTATAAAACTGATGTTATCCCAGCAAACAATTGATGTTGGATAGACGTTGTAACAACGTCAGAAACTGACGTTGGATAGACGTTGTATATTGGTTGAAAATGAAAGTTTGTTAGACGTCAGACTCCGACGTTGGAACAACGTCGGAATTATGACGTTGTATCAACGTTGTGATAACGACCAAAATCCAACGTATAAACATGCACACCACACAGGCATCATCTAATAAGGAATTATCCGCACGGTCTTATTTCCTATATCTGGACAGTATCCCAGACTGTAATTAGTATAGGATTTAATTACTACATTCACTACATGTATAGGATTTAATTACTACATTCACTATATGTATAGGATTTAATTACTACATTCATTATATGTATAGGATTTAATTACTACATTCACTGTATGTATAGGATTTAATTACTACATTCACTATATGTATAGGATTTAATTACTACATTCATTATATGTATAGAATTTTAATTACTACATTCACTATATGTATAGGATTTAATTACTACATTCACTATATGTATAGGATTTAATTACTACATTCACTATATGTATAGGATTTAATTACTACATTCACTATATGTATAGGATTTAATTACTACATTCACTATATGTATAGGATTTAATTACTACATTCATTATATAACAAACAACTTGGATTATGTACAAGTTTTATTTTCACAAAAAATCTATACAGACACTGAAACTGTTAAATAACAACTTTTAATTGATAAAAACACATCCAATTATTTGACACATGGTAAGTAAGACCATTTAAAAGCATACATCTAAACTTAGTACTTTTAAAGTTCAATTGTCACCATAGCAATAAAGAAGAGGCCCATGCTCTACTGGGATGGTTGTTTGGTAATTTTCAATCCAGAGCATGTATGTATGGCGAAGATCAGATAGTAAATGGAGGCTCTATTGTGTTGGCAAAGCGGTGTTATAGCTATTTTGACAATGTCAAGGGTCATAATCCAGTCATGCAAGCTAGGGCACATATGGCTGGTTTTCGAAATGAATCGAGCTCTCATCAATATTTAACTACTATCTAAGTTTGGTGAAGATCGAATAGTAAATGGAGGCTCTATTGTGTTCACATGCACTATTATAGCAATTTTGGCAAATTCAAGGGCTATAATCCAGTCTTGCATCGGCTCAGGTGATCTAACAACACAAAAAGAGCATTGCTTATCAACAAATGTAAGTACAAGCAACTGTTAATAGTTCAGGTGCATTCAAAGAGCTAGTATACTCCCAAATATTAAGATGCTACATATTCCAAGAGCCATCTTCCAAGAGCCATCGAACTGTACACCCTAAATAGAAAGCATTTATATGTACTTTTGACAAGATCGGGCATAAGCAAAGCATATCACCTGTTCTTGAAATACATATCTTTACAAACTTTTAATGTAATTTTTGTTTGTTTTAAATGAAAATTTCCTGCTCAAAGAAATAAGCAAACAGAAGTACACTTTTTGATGTTAGAAGCCTAGAAAAGTTTAACATTGTAAAGATAATGATGTAGGTAATTTGTGTGAATAGTTGGTTAAAATTATTTTTTTCGTCCGCCACCTCCTCGTCTGTCCGGAGCGTACTTCAGACAGGATCCAATGGCCCCATCCACCTCATGTTCAGTAGCAGTACCGAATGTTTTTATCACACTTGCTGAAATGTATAACACATGAAATAGCTTAAAATATAGAGGATGATTGTTTGTTTCAGTGTAAGATCGCAATATAATTGCGTGGTATAATCGCATGTAATAAATAGCTTTAATTGATATCAAATATCACACAAAAATATCTCCAGTTTTAGTAAAATATCTGCCGTATCAAATTAAGCTATCGCGGGTTAAATCCATTTGTCAGTGAATAATTGCTTTCTTTTACTGGAGCGGGCATCAATGATATTTTTATGAGAGGAGAATGCACAAGACTATACTCACTTCAATAATAACATAGTTGTTAAATGTTTCTGTAAAGAAGCAGATTTTACTGTCGCAAATATTACCTTGAACAACTTTAAAAACTGCCGTCTTCTGGAATGACATTTTCCCCTTGTTTCCCTTCATGTTGAAGCCAGCCATTACATCATTCGTCATAAATCTGTCAAAAACAGGGAACATGTCCATGAACAATATGAAGGCAAGGTACCTTTTTGTAAATAAATTTGATTGGATCAACCAGTCTTTGTTACAAGTTTACATTAAATATAGTATATCATACTGCAAAAGTTTCCTGAAATCATACTTGTTTATTTATTTATTGGGGTTTTATGCCGCTTTCAACATTATTTCAGTTGTATCACGGCGACACTTATTCATGATCCCTTTGTAAACAAACCAGTACTAGGCTAGACAATGTGCCTTGCCCAAGGGCACTCCACCATGACCGTGGTGTCGCGACTGGGGATCGAACCCGGGACATCCGGTTTCAAAATCCCCGACGCTAACCACTCGCCCACAGCGGATTCCTGAAATCATACTTGTGCAAAAGATGATGTTATAAATCTGTTAAATAACACTAATATCAAAAGAATATATATAGGATTACTTGAAGAAAGTGAATCAAACAATAAACAGTAATACTGGTAAATAACTTGAAACAATATATATTCATATTACACTTACCTATCCATAATCTTCCTCACATTGTCCTTTAAGTTTAAGCCGCCGACACTACAAAGTCGTTCGATCTGTAAATAAGACGTAATAAAACTATTTGAGTAAAAAACATCAGTTTCTCGGTTATGCGAGAAAGCTTTAATTTTCCAACTGATAACAACCTCAGAATGAGAACAAAAATGACGAACTATTGCACATAGCACTTCATTGTCGGATAACCCTGATACATTACTGCACATTTTATCGTGGGCCACTTGACTAGGAAAATCTCGTAATCAGTAATTATTAATAAGGCAGTTTCATTCGTTCCACAAATTGGTTTTGTTGAAATCTAACCAATCAATTCAAAACTCCCCTTACATGTGCTTTGAATACCCAAATATATACAGCTTTTAGCTACACTTTAATTTCTTAGTTTATATAACTTCTTACAGAAATCAAACTTAATATTTTATTAAAAATGAAATTTTATATCCAAATATGAATTTTAAGACCTAGGTAAATTTGCTTTTCAACTTTATCGACACCAAAACAATAACATTCAATATGCCTATTATTACATACAGTTGACTTGTCTCCCCTGTTCATGCATATTCATGAAAACGAGATTTCGAATGTCAATTAACCCACGGCATACATTATGAAGTGTAACGGAAAAAGTGCAGGGTTCGAATTTAAGCTCGCATACTCGCGAAAAGCGAGTGCAAATTGCAAACTGCGAGTAGAGATTTCAGACACCAGCATTTTTTTGCGAGTGAAAATTTTGGGCTGAATAATCCTCATTTCTAATGGTCGGTCTTTACAAATTCTTTCTTTGACAACTCGCGGTCATTTAAGCGCATTCTTGTCATTCGCCGAATGAATGATTCAGCTTTTGTCATTAACGGAAGTTTACAATCGATACATGTCCCGTGCGCATGTCCGTTAGGAAGTACCTGCACAAATAATGATGACGTTTACCGCATGCATGATGTTTTTCGGTAATCTATTTTTAGTTACTATTTATAGCGCAAATACGATAGGCTTGACTAGTCACGTGGTTGTATTGGGGTTTCCCAAGGTTAAATTTCACAGCTCACTGCACCGGCAAAATAACAAATGGACAAGTTGCTGATGTTGCCCTTAGAGAGTATGACCCAAAACCTGCTGTAACAAGATGGTGGTTGTCGGGACAAAGACAGAAAAGACCAAATACTCTACCATATGGAGCAAGAAACTAAGATGCAGTTTTTATGCTATATCTTAGAATAGCCTGAGCAGGCCAGCTTCCTTTCACAGCAAGGTTTGCGTCATGTATACATCCCAATGACCATAATTTAAAATGTCAGTTAATACTGTGTTGTTTTAGAATCTAATTCTAAGTTAACATGTCTAATAAAGTTGGAAAAATGCAAATTGCAAGTTGTTTTCTCATTTAGCAAGTAAGAAAAAATACCACTTGCGAAAAAATGCAAGTAGAAAATCTGGTTAAATTTGAACCCTGAAGTGCCGTGGTTGCTGATGATGATTGCAATTAAACATTTTTAAAACTGCAACTGACAATGTTCGACCAAGCTGTACTACAGTATATATTGTTTATACATTGTACAGACTGTAAGTGATCCATTTTTTTTCTAAACAGCATATAACTTACCACAAGTCTTCGATTTTCTGGATTCTTAAGTATTTCTTCAATTTCACCCAACTCTTGAAGATTTTCAACCTTCTCTGGTAAAACCTCACCAGTATCGCCTTGCGCAGGAGCTAAATGATCTCTACTCAACGTCGACAATTGCTGTCGCATGTCCGCCAAAACGAACAGCACACGTCTTTGAAACCCTTAAAAAATACATAATTGATGAAATAACTTGCAGACTTGTTAAAGTAGTAAATAAATTCTCATAATACTGTGAACAAATAATATTAGCAGTGGTATAATTTTCGTGCTTAGGTTAAATTTGAGCGCAAAACTAAAACCAGGTTATTTCAATGTGTTTACTTTTAAGTAATAAGCATAACATAATAAACAGAATGCGCAAAAATGTCTTTTTGAGCCAATGGGCCAAATTTCAACCCTACATATTTAAATGATTTCACAGTAATCATTCTCCTTGAAATGTTCTTAATACACACACACAAAAAGTTGTTTTCCTCATTAAATGTCCATAACATACACACCAAATAAAAATACAGCTGGGGTAGGAGCGATGATTCAAACCCGGGTCGCCAGAATATGAGTCTGGCGCTCTACCAACTGAGCTACTTGGGCTAGTGCTTGACTACTCAAATTTTCAACAGATATCATAACATTATAGAAATCTCTTTTTAGTTTTACCTGGAAGACTAAGCCAGAGACTTTTTGAAATGGAAAAATACGAAAAAACCACCCGGGAAAGATGTTTCGATTCATGCAAATTTCCATGTATTGTACACACCAATATCAATTTTATGCAAGTTTTTGAAAAAAAAACTTTTTTTCTTGCAATGGTATCATCTGGTGGCCAGTACCTTTAAAAAACTATAACGTTCTCGTGGCTTTCACAATGGACACTCCGTACTGGCTTGACCCAGGAAACGGACTCGAGAGTGACTCTTTAAGCTGTTAGCTTTTGTTACAATCAAGCTAAAATAAATTGGTAAAAACCAACAATTAAAATATTATTTATCTGGTTTTTCACATACTTGCTTCAGTCATTGGGAAGGCCTCTTTTCTTGTCGGAGTCTCATTTGCAGCAAAAATGGACGGAGTCCTCAGTTGGCTGCTGAACCTGGACCGGGACAATCTTTGACTCCTTGAACTGGACCATCTCTCACTCCAGCACCGGGCTGATTGCCGACTCCTGGACCTAGTATTGACAGAATATTTACTATGGATATTTGATTTATAAAACAATCATCGATTATTAATCACTTTTAACTATTATTTTATTAAGGTTTAATGGTACAGTACATGCTAGTACATGCACCTGTTAAAAACATCGATGTTCCCTTAATATGTGTATATTAATTCTTTATAATCTGACAACACTAAAAATAATTTAGGAAATAAAAATATTATATAAACCAATCTGACAGTACTATATCAACTAAATGAATATTCAAATTGTTTTAAACAATTACATGTTCGTTCAAAAACCTCAGTTCTGATTTTGGGAATTGTCTATTATATGAACCATAAAATGCCACAAAATTTTGGAAGTTTAAAATGAAAAGTAAAGCGAAGTAAAATTTTATTTATGTACACTCCAACGTCTGCAAATTGCTCTTTTCTCTTCTAAAACCTGAAATTACACCAAATTTAACCCTTGATTTAGCCTTGCCAGGGTATTTATAAACTGTGTTGTTCTCGGAATTGTTCCTATCTTGTGCCATATTGAAACCGAATGAAAAGGTTGATTGATTGATTGAAGTTTAACGCCGTTTTTAACAATTTCTCAGTTATATTACTGCGGCCAGTTCACCTACTCATGCATTTCCTGGTTTTCTCACCAGTACTCCACACAATAATCTTCCCAAGCAACTGGCTGCTTTTCCACATAGATTAAGCCCAGTGGTGGAAGACGAATGACGCATGTCGCATGAATAGGATACTAAGAAAATGAATTACTAAACAAATCCATTTTTTAAAACCGATAGTTCAAATTTCTCTATCGATTGTCGCCGTAGTAGGCCTTTCTGATCAACTTTCAATTTAAAGCAATTATCAGTACAACCTTACCTGGACCGTGATGACCTTGGACTCCTGGACTGGGATGACCTCCGACTCCTGGACTGGGATGACCTCCGACTCCTGGACCGGGATGACCTCTGAGGGCTAATTGATTGCTGTGACCTTGAATTATTTGTCTTTGAAGGTTTGGTGACAAGAGGTTGTGGAGTGGATTTCTTTGATTGGGTGACTGGAGGTCTGCCACTGGACTGTTGCGACATGGCAAGTTGAGGCCTTGATGATACTGAAGTTGTTTGTGTGACAAGAGGTTGTGAAGTGGATTTCTTTGATTGGGTGACTGAAGGTCTGCCACTGGACTGTTCCAACATGGCAAGTTGAGGCCTGGATGATATTGAAGTTATTTGCGTGACAAGAGGTTGTGAAGTGGATTTCTTTGATTGGGTAACTGGAGGTGTGCCACTGGACTTTTGTGACATGGCAAGTGGAAGCCTGGAGGAAGACTCAGAGTTGTCTTTGCTTCGTAAATTTCACTGGAGGAACTGGGAGATTAACCATACCTGTACAAAAATGATTGTGTTCTGTATTTTCAAGTTTGTATTTCTGACATACAGTTTAAACTTTACTATAATGATGATAGAACATTAGTGTTAGTTGGTCAATCATTTCATGCTGTAAATTTGTATAGTGCACATTTACTGTATAATGTTCATTTTTGTCTACAGAGGTCACTTATTCATGAGCACTGCAGATATACACAACTCTCGATCATTATTATTGACTTACTGTAAATCTTAACGTTTTGTGGCCTCATTACATGATAATCATGAAACAAATTTTACACCATTTCTACAAATGCACATGCACTCACCAGTTCTTACTGGCTCATTTCTGCATTCTGATATATCATTGTCTGCCTGCTCCTTCTCTGTAACTCCATCTGTAATAAATGGCACAAATATAAAACCGGTAAATAATTACTTTTGGCTTCCAGACTATGGCATTTACAGCTATATGGACTGTGTCTGGTAACACACTGCTTACATGTCCCTTTAATATGCTGATGTACACTGTAGTCCTATCAAAAATCTACAATCACTATTAATTATATGGTATAAAACATACTTCTGTAAGCATATCCATACACTGATTTTGTTCTACAAGCATCATGTTAATCTGCAAAATATACCAGTACAGTATTTCAATATATTCATTTTTTAAAACCATTCAACTTCTAATGTTGGCATTTTAAGAATTATCTCTTAAGTTATTTCAAATCTGGCCTAAAATACTCATATAATTTCCTATCAAATAGCATTCATAACCTTTTGGAATTACAACATAAACAAACTAAACTTCAAAAATTGGTATTTTTGTAGCATAGTTCAATGCAACATAGTATGCAGTTATACCTGTTAGAAAGTCATGGAACTGTTTTTTCTTTTGCTTTCGTTTAACCATGGCATCTGCATCTTCATCATCATCAGATGTTTCGATGGTTGTAGTATCATCATGACGGTCACACTCTGCTTTGCTCTCTAAAACAGGAACATACTGTACAATACATACTAACAACTAGAGACGCTGCAATACTACGAAACCAGGTTTTCATGTTTAGCAATCAGAAAATGATGGCAAACTAGAATATCACTGAAGGTGATGAATACTCCCAGCTGGTGCCTGACAATATACATATGTATGAGAAATTCAAGGGGCCATAACTATCATGGTATCAATCATTCTTGTGAAGTTATATTGAATTCTGACCAAGGGTTGCTGAGAAATAGTGTTCACAAGAAATGTCCACAGACCAATGAAGCGACAGGCGTGACTCCTATATAGCCCCCAATATACTACGTATACTGGGGGTATAATTAATATGGATGGGTATTGTTGCTTCAGCTTGACATTTTCGCCATTGCTTCAAATATGAATTGCTGCGTTCTGCCATTTTCACAAAACTGAAATATATGTTTATTGTATCATGGATAACTGTTAGATAGGGATGTACAATTAATTGTAACATAAGTGATTTATAAATTAAGAGCAGTTTTTAGCTACGACACGCGCAGTTAGTGCCCTACTGTATCTGTAAAAAATATTGTCAGTGTAACATTTATAAATATACTGTTGGCGAGCAGTATCCATCCATTTTTACAGGATTTTAAAGATTTTTCAGTCTTTCGAAATTCAGATTTTCAAGCACTAGCCTGAAATACTATATTCCCATGTAAATTATCAAAATTCATTCTAGCCCATCACTATATATATATATATATATAAATCATTAAAAATGCGGACATTTTTACTAGCCCAAAAACAGTTTTCCTAGTTTTTTTTTTTACCTTGGCGTTAGTGCAAATTTCAATCACTCATTCACTGATGTTTTCATCAAAACAACAAGTGACAGAAATAATCCTCACACTAATAGAAACTAGGGATCAAGGTCGTATTATTGTTCATTATTTTTTCAAAACTAGTTTAATAACATACATAACTGTGTACGGGCCTTAATTGATCCTGACTTAATGTCAAAATCACAAAGACTGGGCTAATATTTATCTCTAGATAAAGGATAAAGATTTTATGGCTTATTTAAGAGAAAAACTGTTTTCTCTCACAAAATTGTAAGAATCAGCGCGATGCCGAATCGGGTTGAATTGTACAAGGAACTTTACGCTAAGTTTTCATTGAAACAGCCGTGTAAAACAACAGAACATGAGTCCTATATACATTTAAACATACATTGCATCAACTTACCTTGTTTTATTATTTTAAATATGTACTGTAGTTGCTGACTCGTTCTCTCCCGCACACGGTTTGCAAAATGGCGGTCAAATTTGGTTCAAAAGGCGGCAAAAAGCGTAGTCTCGTTCAACCAGACTCTTGTTGCCTGCGCAAGCCACGCCGAATAGAGAGTGATAAAGCGTCTGATTGAACGAGACTACAAAAAGCGGCACGCGTCGATCTATTTTTAGGAAAGTAAATATGATTTTCTTTTCGGAATTATCGAAATTACATGATAAGAAGCTATCTTTATAAAAAATTCTGCAAATCTTTGTTCAACAAGATGAATTCAAACAAAATATTTTAAAAGAAAAGAAAAAGGCAAAAAAAATGCGACACCACTCGGAAATTTCAATTTCAGAAACCAATTTAAGGGCACAAGCAAGGGAAGCAACTTGAATAAATAAAGTGATCGAGTTTTAGTATTCATTTGCAGCAGTATCACGATTATTGAGCAACGACGTTTTGTCACATCATGTGTATAAAATGTATAAAGTTGATAAAATACAACTTATTACAAACTATGACCAAAACACAACGTCGGTTCGATGTCTAATTGCGACGTCGGACTGACATCATGATTTCGACGTTGATACAACGTTGTATTTAAGTCGCCGACGCCGTGACCTAAATCCAACGTATATCCGATGTTGATCCAACGTCATGTGTTTGCTGGGACTGATCAGTCCACATTGGTATAAAATGTATGCTACTGAAAAGCTAGTTATTAACTTCTACACACACACCTGTGTCACAGGTATGAAGATTACCGTATTTATTTCAATCAAACACCCAGGAAGAATAACAGACTGACACAATTCATGAATTCCCTCGAAATCTAGCACATTCATTCCAGCATTAATTTGTTTACCTGATTTTCACAAATAATATACTTAAGTTAGTTGCTTAAGTGCATGCAGAGTCTATTTTCTGAAAATCATACAGATGTTACGAGTTTCGTAGTAACGCTCGAATCACAAGCTAAAGGTACTGCTGACTAAATCTTTACCGGGATTTTATGAGAAGACAGAAGATAACTCTGGAGGATAGCAGACGACAACATCGGAATCATGGGATGGCCGCCATATTAGCGTAACATGTTCAAATCACGATGTCTGTATTACGTATTTTCGGGGGGTTTTCACATATAACATGCATGCTAGAGTATTCACCTAGTTCATATAGTTCCTAAAGACTTCAATCGTATCCATTTTAAGTATCGTTGATTGTTATTTAAGCTAGGAATGACTATTTTCGTCTCCTCAATCTGTACGGTGTATCTCGCCATCTTTCCACCATAACAAAGCCTTGTAGTTGCAAGCACGGCGCTGATTGGTCAGTTAGCCGTGGCCGTATTGAAAGCGGAGCGCAGATTCACTTACAGTACAGTTTCTGCGCGTGAGACTATTCCACATACTATATAAATCCCGAAATTCTTGAAAATGTTGTCATTCGTTTTATTGAAACGACGGAGGTATTGACCCTCCAACCCACACATCAATATGGAGCCATTGGTAACCTTTAAAGCAATTTAAAGTGGGACGGATGACCCGTTGATCATTTTGGGAACTGGTGGGGAAATATTTCCATATATAAACCCATCCCTGATAAACCACAGGATAAAAACTTCCCAATAGCGGGAACGTTTAAGTTTCCCAAATGACACCGTAACTAGAAAGAGATATAAGATCTCTGGAGAAATACATTTATAGTTGCAATTTCTTATAGTCAGTTAACAATATATTTATAAGTATAACTGAGAACTTGTTAGGTCAAAAGTACTTAGAGAAATTAGTAATTCCCATTTTGGGTGAATATTTTAAAGTTATTCCCATATTTGGGAACGGTGAATATTGCATATTCGGGAAAGAGATTAGTGTTCCCACATTCGGGAACAAGTAGAGAATTTCCATATCTGGGAACAAAATAGTGGGGAAAATTATACTAGTTACCTTTCTCATTCTCTGTACATTACTAGAGTGTTTTGAGCTGAAGTGACATATATTGATGTTTATTTTGTGAATTGTAAATAAAATGTTGAATTTTATCATGATTGTTGCTGGTTTTACTTTTGGTCACGAGTGCTAGGCTGGGAACGAACCTTATAAATTTCATGATAACTGATCTCACCCACAGGATTAGCTGGGTAGCAGAAACGTTACATTGGCGTCGTCGGCAGGATTTTGGATTAAGTTTCCAAACAAATAATTATTCCCAGTGTCTAGTGGACCAAAGGTAAAGGAGAGCTTCTGATAAAATTCGAATTTTCTGTTTGTAAAATTAACAAACACAAAATAAGAATTCTACAAAATCTTTAATAGAGTAAAATTGTAAATTATGGATTCTGGAGACGAATCTGAAGTCACATTTCCAAATGGGAAGGCTCATTCGGGTACTGGTACGGAGAATGACACAACCATGAAGGGGTTTTTCGATGAGGAAGCTCCGGGACAATCCCATAGAAAGTCTGAAAATATACAGAATAACCCATTCAGCTGTATGATGCTGTGTATGGTGTCAGCAGGGAAATACACAGTCTGCAGAATAAGTTTACTAAATTAGAAAATTTGGCACATGATAATGATAAAGAAATAAGGCACGTTTTGTCTCAGGAGATTGGACATCAGAACATGTCAGGAAATACTTGGGAAAACAGGGAACGGTTTCCCCAGGGGGATAAACACAATAGTTCAGCAGATTATGTTGAGGTTATAGGGGATAGGTCAATCCCTAGACACAGGACAGATATACGAGTACCAGATAACATTTTGGGAAAAGGGGATGAAAGTTCCCAGGAAAACATACACTATTACATAGTGAGCGAGCGAGCTAGGAATGAGGATGGAGTCGGTTGCATGGCTCGTTTTACCAACTTGTAAAGATTTGGCTATTAAACGCCGACTGCACGACCGGCTAGTCCGGCAAAATGTATATTTGTATGTTTGAGCACGGACTCTAATCTAATTCCGTGGTTTGAGTTTTTATTTCGGATTCGAAGTGTGTATCTTTCGTTGATCGAGCTCCGTCTACCTGTATTTGGATTTTCGAACATGTTTAGTTACAATGTTGGCGGAGCCTGGCAAACGGAAGGTTTCCTAGGAGCCCTATCGAGATTGTGTACCTCTGTTGTTGTTTTTTTTACGCAAATTATTTTTGTAAAAAAATCAGTGCAATAGAAAACACGAATCAAACCTTTGCTGGGGTTCGTCAGGGACATTCCTGGGTTCGTACAGGAACAAAGGAGTAGAGAAGTTAGGGGGAAAAGGTCAGGATTTTAAAATGCTTGATATTTCTTATGGAAAATATTGTGATTTTGGCGTTTCTTAAGTATCAATATAATCCGTATATCATATCGACCAGCAGAAATACCTGTCCCCTCAATGAAAACTGCTCACGCCAAACTTCTCGGCCAATGAAAAAACACATAACTCGGGGTTCGCGTCGCACACCTTCCCGCGAGGTCGACCCTCATAGACTTGACATTTTGGTGAGTCCTGATTTTTTTTCTCAATTGCAAAACAAGCGTTGATCCCGTTGTCAAATTGATACTGATCTATAGGTTTTCTCTCCGATGTAATGGATTTGATATGGATCGCTTCTATAAGAATTTCTTGTCGGAAATATTTCTTTTCTTCGAGACCAAATATCGTGCACATCAAAGTCAGTGTCTTCCAACTCAATTGACTGATTAGGCTATTTGATCTCGGATTTAACTCTTAGAGCCTTATAGTTTCTGTTAGACGCCCTTGATGACTTCTCTCTTAAATAGATGTGCTATTGCGATTGCAAATTTACAAGGGGTAAATGATAAACTATTAAAAGTACATGTACATTTGAGTGTTCCCCTAACGTGGGGCATTATCAAGAAACAAAAAAATATGAAAATTTGGTGAACATCGTCAAGTAAATTCCAATATTCCCCAAATTATGGGTACATATGCTGATTCTCTAACCTTGTACCTGTATACCTGTATGTAGATACTAATTAGCCTGCAGTGATATTTGAGGTGTATTCTTATTTTGAATATCATGGGTGTAGCCACACCCAGCTGATGAGTTGGGGCAAATTGAAATTGACACAGGGACAAAGCCCCTCAGCCTCCCCCTCCTTGAAGGCTACAGTAGTGAGCCCTACACTTCATCATCTTATGGTCATTTTAAGGAAATAAATGGTCACAGCCACTTTGGCCCCTTGAGTATAAAGTCTAGATTCTGATGCTCATTATCTACTGATTTTTTATAGAACTTTTGCGAAAATCCACTAATGAAATTCTGCAGATGTTTTGAAGGTTTTGCACTTTGTGGCCCCACCCTCAGTCCTTTTGGTCCTCGACCCTTTTTTCAATATTCATTCTAATTCCCAGTATCATTAAAGTTTGGTCTTGAAAACTTCATCTAAGGATGACTTTATGATATTTTGATCCAAATTCACCAGAACCAGATGGGGAGGGGGGAGAAACAGCCATTTTTAACTCATTGGAAAGTTTGGTCTTTTGTGTGTTAACTAGCTGGAGGGGGGCCCCGGGGGCACACCTTTTAGCCCAAGGGCTTTAGCCAGGTATTTTGGTAAAGTGCCCCTTAACAGCAAAAGATATCATCAGCATTTGGCACAAAGTGGGATAATATCATAGATAATAAAAATATACAACATTTGATATAGCGCCCTATCTAGCTAACATAAGCCACTCTAAAGCGCTTTACAGTACACAGATATACAGTTAATACAATTAGCATATACATTTATTAATTCATTTTTTTTAGGAAGTCGCAAGAGCTGCCTTATCAGGCGCTAACTACTAGTCCTATGCCACCTGGCTATCAATATTGATGAGAGTCTACCATTGTCCATGAGAGATTTTTTTTATAAGACTATGCACTCAGTGACCCCCATTCAATGCCCCCTAGGGGGGTCCGACCCATCTTCAGTAGATAGATTCTGATTCCCGCTACAGGTTGAAGATTACTGCAAAGTTGCATCAAAATTACATAGGCTTCTAATTGAAAGTTAAAATTAAGGATCCTCGTTCTGTTGTAAAAAACTGTAAATTTGCATTGAGAATTTTTTCTTGCCTAACCAGCTTTGATAAATTGTTTCTGAAAAGAAAACCATACCTTGCATGACTTTTATATAAAAAACATAATAAAGATGAAATAAACAGAATACAATCAACAATGTTCTAGCATGTGTGTAAAAATTCAGCGGGGCTCAAATAAAAGGAAAATAAAGATCAGGATTAAAATCCTGGATTTCATGTTATGATACTAGTGCTCTATAACTAGCTGAGCTATTTAGTCGACATATCTAGAAGTGTCCAGAACCAACTGTGCTACAGTTATATTTAATACTGTATCTAAGACAAACTCTAGGGGAGGTTACTCTATATATGGAAAAAAAACACTGCACTGGACAGGGATCCTTAAGATTGGTTATGAATGACACTCAAAAGCAGGAGAAATGCATTCACCATACAGTCATCAGTGTTTTTGTTACCTTAATTTTACAACAGCCTGTTCCTTAATGAACTGGGAAAATATAGCATAATTTGTATTGAAAACGAATGTATATTCCTCATTTTTTGGTCATTTTGGGAAAATAAGGCACTTTTTAGCTAGGGCCAACAGTCTGTATTATGCAGTAAAGTTGAGCCGAAAAACCCCACTGATACTATAAAAATATATAATAAAATAAAAATGTCACCATGCCAACTATCCATAAGATTTTGAAATGCTCAATAATATTAGCTCCATTAAGCAAGTTTTCATCAAGAGTTTTATAATGATTATGTATTATAATTTCTTTGATAATCAGCAGGTAAAATAACTGCTCTTTATCCAGAGAGGTCACCACACGTATTAGGCTGAGAATATCTTTATTTTGTAATTGTTTATTTTTCAAAGATTTTAAATAAACAATTATGGCATAAACATGACATAAACACATATTCAAAAGCACACAAAACACACATTGTTTTCTATGGCGGTACATTTAGGACATGCACAATATTATTTTCTACATTTATTATCTTGAGCGCTCAACATAACTTCTCGATTGCTTGACATAATGTCACGAGCGCTCGACTTATTATCTCGTTATCCAACCTCTCTACATTGTACATAACAAGTAAGAATTGTTCACACGAATAAGAACACTGCAAACAGGCGCATAATCCATTTTGAAACTACTTTAAACTTCACATATTAATTTTCTAAATATCCATATGAAGGTTATATCATTTCTATATGTAATGCAAATGTGTGTTTTAATGAAATAATTGGAATTTAGCCTGACGTCTTGAGGAAACATAATATAAGGTCTTTGCATAAAAAGTTGACGTCATAGTACAACGACGTCATAATAGGACGTTTGAAAGCCAAACAAGAATCTTGACCTGACAGAAAATCTACTATCACGATTTCAATGCAATACTATTATGAAGCGATTCATACGTAAAGTCTAAGTTAAGCTCCCGAAATAATAAGCCGAGCGCTCGAGACGATATGTACAGCGCACTAGAAGTTATGTCGAGCGCTCTACATAATAAGTCGAGCGCGCGAGATAATTAATGTAGAAAATAAAATTGTGCATGTCCTAAATGTACCACCGTAGTTTTCTTCTAAGCCATCATCATCATCACTGTTATCAATTTTTAACACTTTTAGTTGCTATTAAAGAAAACAACTGAATACTGACATACACAAAATCCAAACAGACATAGACAGACAGACTGAGTCAGATTGAGTAATAAAATCTATTACCTGTAACGTTAACTGAGCCAGATCAGGTTATCTCAGTCGAGGGCTAAGATTCTGAAACATAATCCCAACCAAGGCGTTAGCCGAAGAATCTTGGACTGTGACCGAGATTAATAGAAGGGGAATACCCCTATCTCACCCACAAGGGGGTGAATGATTCTTTTTCTCTTACCCTGTTCTCCCATTGTGTATCATATACACAATGAAATGTAAACGTTACATGCTAAATTCAGGGTTGACGTGACGTCATTTTATTGTTGAAGTGACAACATACCTTTGTTATGAATAGGGGAATCCCCCTGTCTCAACCCTAGGGTGAGACTAATAGAATCTTCCCCTACCTTGAGGGTGTGACAGAAAAATCCCCAACCCGAGGAGTGATGTTTTTTGGTTGTCTAACCCGAGGCTCTGCCGAGGGTTAGACAACCAAAAACATCACCCCGAGGGTTGGAGATTTTTCTCCCATCCTATTATATCAGTCACAGCTCCACCGACAATAGTCTGCCATGTTTGTAAACAAAAACACATGTGGGGTATGCATATCGTCATTTGACTTTTGATGACGTCACAATTACCGATGACGTATTTTAATGACGTCAAAATTGAACACGTGCTAATCGGCACGAAGCTATCTCCCCCTAGTGGGTGACAAGCTGATCTTTCCCGGCTAAAACGGGAGACACACCTGTGAAGGGTGGGGGAAAAAGATATCTCACACCGGTAAAAGTGGGGATACACCTGTCCAGGGTAAGAGAAAGAAACATCTAGCATGGGGTATGACGTGGGATATCTCTGTCTGAGGTGCGAGAATTGTAAGACTTTCCGAGTAAAGAGTCTGATTGATGTATGTTATACTTATGGTAATATAAAGTATATGCTATAAACTCATAGCAAAATGCAGGTGGTTGATTAAATGGCAATAAATAATTTAAGGACTGTATTTAGTATTAAAAACTAAACTAATTGCGGTATCTGTGCTGTAGCATTCAAGTGAGGTGGCACTATAAATGATACCGTTAGAAGCACGGTCCCACTACAAACAGAACACAATACATCTCAAGCAAACACACAGGTGTACACTGGTACACAGTAACCAAAAGGTCTAGGATAATGATATGTGGCTAGTAGCATGCTGGGATAAAGGGCTACCTAGTTTGTTCAAAGGAATGATCTTCGTCAATTTTCAAGGTCACAGGGGTCAAATATGTTAAAATCTTTCAATGACTTCTTCTGAATAATCAAAGAGGCCTAGGGTGATAATATATGGCCAGTAACATGATGTGATAAAGGGCTACAAAGTTTGTACAAATGAATAACTTGACTTATATTCAAGGTCACAGGGGTCAAATATGTTTAAAACCATTAAACAATTTCTTCTGAATAACCAAGAGGCCTAGGATTATGATATTTGACCAGCAACATGCTTGGATGAAGGGCTACCAAGTTTGTTCAAATGAATGACTTTGACTTATATTCAAGGTCACAGGGGTCAAATATGTTTAAAATCTTTAAACAACTTCTTATGTATAACCAAAAATACCAGGGTGATGATATTTGGCCAGTTAACATGTTGGGATGATGGGTTACCAATTTTGTTCAAATGAATGATCTTCACCAATTGTCTAGGTCACAGGGGTCAAATATGTTGAAATCTTTAAACAACTTCTGAAAAGGTCCAGGGTAATGATATTTGGCCAGCTTAATGTCCTTGTTTGACTTTGATTTTAAGGTCATATGTGTAAATCTTTTAATGGATTCTTTCGAATCGAACAAAGTGTGAGATTAATACCAAGTGAGCGATTCAGACCCATTGGGCCTCTTATTAGGTAATGCTATTCTGCTATAACGTCATCTGCCATAAGAAAAACAGTTACACTAAAAATATTCAACCATTTACATGGAAATGTACCGTAGCAAATATTAATCTGGCTATATTGCAATTGGCGGTTTCTTGTTTAAATGACCAAGATTTAATGGTATGATTGGGTAAATCAGCATCATGTTCGGTACATTGTGATTCTTAAGGTATTTTTCACTCCTTGACACTGAAGATAATTTGTTTTTGAACAGGGTGCCTAGATTATGTTTGTTGTTGATAATTCACACAACGTTGAATAAAGATTATTTTATTTGTTTAACCATGAATAGCACAAAATTCATTGAAAGAGAAAAGTAACACGTTCTAATATTTTTAACTATATCACTGATTATTGTAATCCCCTTATTGAACCTATTTCTATAGAAAATGACATTATTTCCAATAGTTATGTTTTTAGCTCACCTGGTCCAAGGGACCATGATGAGATTTTGCCATACCTCAGCGTCCGTCGTCTGTCCGTCCATCCTTCAACTTTTCCTTTAAAACGCTACTAGTCTTGAACGTCCAAGTAGATTTTGACTAAATTTGGTCTGGAGCCTCCTTAGGCCAAGGGGACTCAATTTTGTATAAATGGTGGGTGTGGCCCCCCTGGGGGCAGAGGGGCAGGGCCCAATAGGGGAAATAGAGGTAAAACCTTTAAAATCCTTCTTCTACTGTAGGGATTGAGGGATTTTATTCTAATTTAGTCTGTAGCATCCTTGGGCCAAGGGCACTCAATTTTGTATAATTGGTGGGTGTGGCCCTCTTGGGGGCAGAGGGGCAGGGTCCAATAGGAGAAATAGAGGTAAAACCTTTAAAATCCTTCTACCGTAGGGATAAAGGGATTTTATTCTAATTTAGTCTAGAGCATCTTTGGGCCAAGGGGAGTCGGTTTTGTATAAATGGTGGGTGTGGCCCTCCTGAGGGCAGAGGGGCGGGGCCCAGTAGGAGAAATAGAGGTAAAACCTTTAAAATCCTTCTTCTACCGTAGGGATAAAGGGATTTTATTCTAATTTAGTCTGGAGCATCTTTGGGCCAAGGGGAGTCAATTTTGTATAAATGGTGGGTGTGGCCCTCCTGAGGGCAGAGGGGCGTGGCCCAATAGGAGAAATAAAGGTAAAACCTTTAAAATCCTTCTTCTACCGTAGGGATAAAGGGATTTTATTCTAATTTAGTCTGTAACTTCCTCTGTAGGAACGACAGGATTTTGATTTGGTAAGTAAATAAGAACCAGTTCTATTTGTCACGTTTTATTTCACAACAATGATCACAGTCATCTGTAAATAAAACCAGGGTACAATTACATTGTGTTTACATCGACAGACAATTGAGCTGTACACTATTAATATGAACGATTGAGATACAAACAATTGAAGCGTTCGCTTAAAGCTTACAGTGAGACCCATAATAAAATGATGATAACATACCTATCAGGTATTATGATGTAAACATTAGATAAAACAAGCCCACGTGCCGACTACAGCTTGAAACTCAACACGGATGTTATTCTTTACTCCTAATAAGAAAAACGATACCCGGATATTCCGGAACACTAACAACCCACATGCAAAGGGCGATAATCCTCTAGTAAGGAGTTAAGATGATTCAGCTGTGAAATTAATAAAGACCCAATGATGTTAATTCTTCAAATAGGAGTAAGCTTCCTTTTTCTCCCAAGAATTAAAAGTGTAGCTAGTTTTTTTATCCAAATTAAGTTTAGGAATTCCGTGTAAATTCACATTAAATTCAATGTCAAGAAGTGTTAATTTGTCATCCTCCCCCCCAATTGAAAATACATATTAGGAAGAAGTACATTGATACTATACTTTTTACTAGTGTACCCCCCATCCAATTTATATTATTTTTAGACCAGAAATTTTTGCATAAAGATTAAGTTCTTCAACAAGTCCCTTCAAAGAATTTTCTGTTCCATCTAGTATGAAAGAAGTGTCATCTGCATATTGAGAATTTAGAATCTGACTGTCATCAATATTGATACCAGTAATATTTCTATTATTTCTAATCCTAATTGCCAATATCTCAGCACAAAGTATAAAAATGTAGGTGCGATTGGATCACCTTGGCGACAGCCGCATTTTTAGGTCACCTGAGACAAAGTCTCAAGTGACCTATTGCGATCGCCTTTTGTCTGGCGTCGTGCGTCGTCCGTCCATAAACAATTTACATTTTCGCCTTGTTCTCCAAAACCCCTGAACCAATTTCAATGACATTTTGCAGAAACCTTCCATGGCTAAAGGTCAACCAAAATTGTGAATTATTTTGTCCCCAGCCCCCCAGGGGCGGGGCCAAAAATGGTCAAATTGACTAAAATTTCAAAAATCTTCTTCTCAAGATCCAGATTTGGTAGAATCAAATACTCTTTGTAGATGGAAGGGTCTTAAGGTGCCTTACCAAAATTGTGAATTTCATGACCCTGGGGTCTCACGTTTCCCCCTGGGAAAGGGGTAAATTTTACTATAGTTTAATTGTGAATTTTATGGTCCCCAGCCCCCAGGAGCCTGAGGGGCGGGGCCAAAAAGGGGCAAATTGACTAAAATTTCAAAAGTCTTCTTCTCAAGATCCAGATATGGTAGAATCAAATACTCTTCATCGATGGAAGGCTCTTAAGGTGCTTTACCATAATTCAGCTGACTGACAGAACCACTATTTGTACATATATAGTACATATACTACCCAGATCTTTCACACTACTTTTGCATTACATGTAATTCAAGTTACCTTTGTTACAAAATGATTTCTTTTTCATTTGTTAACATAGATAACATCAGTTTTTACATAACTCAGGTGACCGTTAAGGCCCATGGGCCTCTTGTATATTAAAGAACGATACTAAGTTAACCCCCTAATTAATTGCAGGACAAGAATGTAATAGTTTTACCCAATTTATCAAATCATTACTTCTTTAAAATTATCATCTTGTTTATTGGTTTTTCTCCATCATCTATCCTTAAAGCTTTGCTGAAATTATACTTCCCTTCACCCTACGCCTTCTAATATTTCTAATTCCTTCTTTTTCCTATCCAACTTTTCAGAATTTATATCATTCTGATTTTCAAGCTTAATTTGCTTTTTTTTCTGATAGGATGAGTAAGAAATTGATTTGCCTCTTGTTTCCATAACAACAAAGAAAACAGTAAAATGAACATGATGATAGTGACAACAGGATGATGAACACAACAGAATCAAACAGGACAACAACAACAAAGACACAGTAAAATGAAGAACACAAATGATAAAAGAGACACAAGGATGATGAAGACAACAGAACCAAACAGGACAATCATACCAAAAAGAACAATGGAGACAACATTTAAATGAAGATAACAAATGATATAAGGGATAACTGGATGATGAAGACAAACATAACCAAACAGGACAACAACAACAAATACAACAACAAAGACAACAGTACTATGAAGACCACAGATGATAATAATATCAACACGATGATGAAGACAACAGAACATAAAAGGACAACAACACTAAATACAACATTAAAGACAACAGAAAAATGAAGACCACAAATGATAAAAGAGACAACAGGATGGTGAAGACAACAAAACATAACAGGACAACAACAACAAATACAACAACAAATTAAATACAACAGTAAAATGAAGACCACAAATAATAATAGTGACAACAGGATGATGAAGACAACAAGAAGAAAAAAAACAACAACAAAGATAACAGGATCATAAAGACCACACATGATAGTAGTGACAATATGATGATGATGAAGACAACAAAACAAAACAGGACAACAACAACAAATATACAAATGAACCATGAACACAACATAATAATAGTGACAACAGGATGATAAAGACATTTACAACAGAACCAAAAAGGACAACAACAACAAATATACAAATGAACCATGAACACAACATAACAATAGTGACAACAGGATGATAAAGACATGTACAACAGAACCAAAAAGGACAACAACAACAAAGACAACAGTACATTGAAGACCACAAATGATAATAAAGACAACAGGATGATGAAGACAACAGAACTAAACTGGACAACAACAACAACAAATAGAAAAATAAAGAAAACAGTAAAATGTAAACTACAGAGGATCAAAATTGACAACGGAACCAAACATCAAATCCAATGGAAAGGGACATAACCCTGGTCAGATATATCTATGAAGGTGATCTAAGCTCTAGTTGGGTGATTTGGCATCTGGGGTATCTGAAGCTGGATGGATTTATGATATTTCAGCTGCATTATTTACTCCTTTAACAAAGTTTTGAACCCTGGCAAACTCTATTATTGAGGTACAAAGACCTTTATGGTTATAGGTGGGGATCCGATATCATGTACCCCTCCGTGATAGTCCTGAGGGGAACATGTAATCATACTGAGTCAAGTGCTTCATATTGGTTGTTTCCGAGCTGGGGTTAAATTCTCTTGTGACTGGATGGATGAGTGCAGCTGAACTAGAATAAATCTATTTTTGCAACAGTACCTCTTGCGTCGGAAAGTCTGACTAGGGTTTAGGTTATCTGATCCAGAGTATCTGTCTGATAGGATACGATGGCCTGCCAGCTCAAGAACAGAGTAAACAGTTGCAAGAAAATAACATTGGCTGTAAATGGGCAAGACCTGGCTGAAATGATGATGAAGAAAACGGAAGCAAACAGGACAACACCAAATACAACACCAAAGACAACAGAACCATGAAAACTGCAAAGAATCACAATGATAACAAAACCAACAGCAAGAGCAAGACCAAAAATGATAATAGAAACAATAGAATGATGAAAACAACAGAACCAAACAGGACAACAACTCCCAATAGAACAACAAGGACAACAGTACAAAGAAGAGCACATGTGATAAAAGTGACGACAAATGGGACAACAACAAATAAAACAACAAAGACGACAGGATCATGAAATCCACACATGATAGTAGTGACAACAAGTTGATGAAGACAACAAAACCAAACAGGACAACAACACCAAAGACAACAACAAAGACAACAGTAAAATGAACATATTATGATAGTGACAACAGGATGCAGAAAAAAAAACCAGGACAACAACAATAAATAGTAAAACAAAGACAACAGTGTAATGAACATGATAATGGTGACAACAGGATGAAGAAAAAACCTTAAACAGGACAACAATAGCAAATGATAATTGAGACAACAGGATGAAGACAACAGAATGAAACAGGGCAACAACACAAATACAACAACAAAGAGAACTGTGTAATGTACATGATGATAGTGACAACAGGATGAAGAAAAAAAACTTTAAACAGGACAACAACAGCAAATACAACAACAAAGAGAACAGTGTAATGAACATATTGTTAGTGACAACAGGATGAAGAAATAAACCTTAAACAGGACAACAACAACAAAGACAACAACAAAGAGAACTGTGTAATGAATATAATGATAGTGACAACAGGATGAAGAAAAAACTTTAAACACGACAACAACAGCAAATGCAACAACAAAGACATCAGTGTAATAATGAACATGATGATAGTGACAACAGGATGAAGAAGAAAAAACAGGACAACAACAGCAAATACAACAACAAAGATAACAGTGTAATGAACATAATGTTAGTGACAACAGGATGAAGAAAAATTACCATATTGGACAACAACAATAAATAGTAAAACAAAGACAACAGATAAATAAAAAAATGATGAAAGTGACAACAGGATGATGAAGACAACAGAACCAAACAGGACAACAACAGCAAATACCACAACAAGGAGAACGGTGTAATGAACATATTGTTGAAAATGAAATATATAGTAACGTGTGTACTCAATGATATATATGTATGGGTATGAAAATAAAAAAAATTGTAATGTGTGTATTCAATGATATATATGTATGGGTATGAAAATGAAAAAAAAATATAATGTGTGTATTCAATGATATATATGTATGAGTATGAAAATAAAAAAAAATGTTATGCGTGTATGAAATGTAATATATATGTATGGGTATGAAAATGAAAAAAAAATGTCATGTGTGTATTCAATGATATATATGTATGAGTATGAAAATAAAAAAAAATGTAATGCGTGTATGAAATGTAATATATATGTATGGGTATGAAAATGAAAAAAAATTGTAATGTGTGTATGAAATGTAATATATATGTATGGGTATGAAAATGAAAAAAAATGTAATGTGTGTATGCAATGATATATATGTATTGGTATGAAAATGGAAAAAAAATCAAATTGTAATGTGTGTATGCAATGATATATATGTATTGGTATGAAAATGGAAAAAAAATCAAATTGTAATGTGTGTATGCAATGATATATATGTATTGGTATGAAAATGGAAAAAAAATCAAATTGTAATGTGTGTATGCAATGATATATGTATGGGTATGAAAATGAAAAAAACCCAAATTGTAATGTGTGTATGCAATTATATATATGTATGGGTATGAAAATGAAAAAAAAATTGTAATGTGTGAATGCAATGATGTATGAATGGGTATGAAAATGAAAAAAACACAAATTGTAATGTGTGTATGCAATGATATATATGTATGGGTTTGAAAATGAAAAAAACCCACAAAAAAGTAATGATTGTATGCAATGATATATGTAGGGGTATGAAAATGAAAAAATATATTATAATGTGTGTATGCAATCTTATATTTGTATAGGTATGAAAATGAAAAAAAAATGTAATGTGTGTATTCAATGATATATATGTATGAGTATGAAAATAAAAAAAAATGTAATGCGTGTATGAAATATAATATATATGTATGGGTATGAAAATGAAAAAAAACACAAAAAAGTAATGTTTGTATGCAATGATATATGTATGGGTATGAAAATGAAAAAAACCCAAATTGTAATGTGTGTATGCAATTATATATATGTATGGGTATGAAAATGAAAAAAAATGTAATGTGTGTATGCAATGATATATATGTATTGGTATGAAAATGGAAAAAAAATCAAATTGTAATGTGTGTATGCAATGATATATATGTATGGGTTTGAAAATGAAAAAAACCCACAAAAAAGTAATGTTTGTATGCAATGATATATGTAGGGGTATGAAAATGAAAAAATATATTATAATGTGTGTATGCAATCTTATATTTGTATGGGTATGAAAATGAAAAAACAAATTGTAACGTGTGTATGCAATGATATATATGCATGGGTATGAAAATGAAAAAAACACAAATTGTAATTTGTGTATGCAATGATATATGTATGGGTATGAAAATGAAAAAAACACAAATTGTAATGTGTGTATGCAATAATATATATGTATTGGTATGAAAATGGAAAAAAATTCAAATTGTAATGTGTGTATGCAATGATATCTATGAATGGGTATGAAAATGAAAAAAAAAATGTAATGTGTGTATGCAATGGTATATATGTATGGGTATGACAATGAAAAGAAAATTGTAATGTGTGTATGCAATGTTATATATGTATGGGTATGAAAATAACCAACAACAAA